ATTGATTAGCTAAAGCATGTGTCCTTGCCATTTAAGTCATATTGTATGTTTGGTTTGTTAATCTTATGTCTTTAGAATGGCTTCTAGGGCAAATTTTTATGTTAGTTTCCCTTCTGTCTAGGTAATTGGTACGAATGATTATGTTTGCCTGTCTCTTTCCCCTTAAGTGATATATATATATATATATATATTCTCATGAGTTAGGACACTGTTGTGGTCTGTTGTAGACCATGCTACTAGTTTGTTGTTATATTGCTTGTGGTCATGATAGGCTCCCATATTAGAAATCTTCATATGAAATTGCATATCCCTCTAACTATAATTATTTTGAATAAGGTTCACCTGTTTAAAGTCTTTTCTGATCAATTTTGGTTAATATCTTGTACTAAACTTTATTTCTGGAAACATAGCATGTGTGTGCGTTTGTCATGTTAACTCAATAGACATGCTTCTTAAGCCCTCTTAATGTGTAACTGTGTTCCGCATGCTACACCCTTTCCTTTGTTGAATGATTGCTCAACATGGTGTTATTTCTTCTATGTCAAACTTGCAATGTTAAAGCTGTCCAACTAGTTGGTATGTTCAAGCCCTCTTGTTTGACCAATGTTGTTCCCTTAGCTTCTTAGAATGATGATATATTTATGTAATCACTGATTATAGACTTTAGGATTGTCAATTGGTTACCATATATGGTTTCTCCCTCTAAGTCTGGTACGAGTTCGTGTGTGGCCCTGTGTTGTGTAATTGATACTCTCTCATGCTTGAGGTATGCTTGGATCTGGGTCTACTGTTCGTGTGAAAAGTGAACTTGCTGAAGGCCCAAGTGTTACTAGGTTATTTCTCTTTTGGGCCTGCTCTATTTATTGGGCATGCAGTCTTTCTATATGTAATATTTGCACTTGTATTTATTATTTTGGGCCTGTAATAATTTATAAACAAAACAGATGGAGAAATTAGTAAAAAGGAGGTAGGGTACTCTAATTCTCACATAAATGGGTAGAAAGCGTGCCTATAGGATCTATGTGGTCAATCTTCTATTTTCTTTACATGCTTTTAATTTCATGTGTAGAAAGCATACATATAGGAGTCACCCGCACACACGTCACTTAACTTGCCAAAATATGTTATTTCAAGTATTTGATGTACATGTTTCCACTATTGTGCACTCCTAGATAACATCTCTATAGGGCGCAGCAATGCAATATTTTTTTACTTACTTAGATATCATTCCAATAGGAAACTCAAACACTTCACCTGCTCAACCTGTCTAATGCGCACACACTGTCAGATTGTTTGTAAGAGCTTAAGTGTTTCATTTGTTAACGTGCTTACTTCTATGCACTCTTAGATGATATGCCTATAGGATGCAATCATGTAATACCTTTTATAATCTAGATACAATGGCTATAATTATTGATAATTAACCAATATGAGATGCCTCTTACAACCATATTGGAGATTGATATCTTTTATATTTTGGGTATTGACTTTATGGGCCCTTTCGTGAGTCCTTATAGAAACACCTACATCTTGGTTATGGTGGATTTTGCATCAAAGTGGATTGAAGCCGTTGCTTTACACAATAATGAGGCTAGAACTGTGGTGACTTTCTTGAAGAGGAATATTTATACAAGAATTGGTACTCCGCGAGCAATCATAAGTGATGGAGGGTCACATTTTTGCAATAAAACTTTTGACACTTTACTTGGAAAGTATGGTGTCACTCACAAAGTAAAGACTCCCTATCATCCACAAGCTAGTGGTCAAGTGGAAGTTTCTACCCGGAAGATAAAGAGTATTCTTGATAGTCCCCAACGCATTCCGCTGCTTGGATCGCCTTAGGTAAAGTGTCTACCCTTTGTCTTTGCAGCTCCATACGGGTATAAGGTTTCAAACATTTAAGAAATGAGAAAAGTTTGTCTTTGTCCCCCATATCCAGTATGTTCAACATAAGCGCGGAGAATTCCTGCACGTAATCCCGCACTGACTTGGTATGGCAGAGCTGCCGTAGCTTTCTCCGCGCGTTGTACTCAACATTTTCGTGGAAGAACGGTAGGCCTATTGCTTCCTTTAGTTCGACCCATGTCTCGAGAGTATCTTCACCAGCCCAGATGGCTTCGTATTTCACCCTCCACCAAAGTTTAGCATCACGCTGAAGATACATGGCAGCAATTACTACCTTTTTTGCTTCTTCTAACTCCCCCACAGCATCAAAGTACTGTTCGATGTCGAAGATGAAGTTATCCACTTTTTTGGCATTCCTAGCTCCATTGCATGGTTTTAGCTTAAGAATCTTCAGCTTTGTGGCACAGGGGCAAGGTTCATAGCACCCCCGATTTGGTTTCCGCCTCCTTGAAGTAGGCCTTGTACTGCAGCATTGACAATATTGAGCTGGCCTGTCAAGTTGTCTAAAGTTTGTTGCATGGCAGTCACCCTATCTGCCTCTTGTGCCCTGTAGGATAAACCTTTGGTATGCTCCTGTTGGAGGCCCTCTGTCGCTGCCCATATGGCTACAGTTTTTCGGTCTCCCTCAGAATCGCGACTGATGTTCGCAATGTCATCTTCGACCTGCCGCATCCTGCGGTCCAGGTCATCCAACCTTTGCACTAGGTTGGTTCTTAGATCAAGCACAGTATTTACAATAAGTCATAATACGTCAGCCGTCTCTTCAAGGGCCACAACGCGATCCCCATGATTCACCATGGTAAGAAAATGATGGTAGTGATAATGTGTTCCCTCTTCCAATATCGAGCCTAGGCTTTGATACCAACTATTACGCAGCGCCTCCCTGATATTCCTTGGAAGGGCGACGTAAGGCTATAAAACCGATGTCTGTGTAGTTATTATCCGCCAACTAGGGTCCCCTCCATACTCTAGACGAGATTGTCAGTGTCGTATGGAAAAACCAATGTCAAGAGCAATTGAGAGAATAGAAAAGAGAATTAAGAATGAAAGATAGCTTGATTGCATTAATGAAAACTATTACAGAAAAGCAACACGGTGTCGAGGGGGAGAGACAACAGTACAGAAAATAGTTTTCTTGCTAGAAAATTTGATTGCTTGATCCCTCCTAATAGTACTTAAAAAAAATAAACCAAAGTTAAAGGATTTGACATAACTAAGCCAAAGAGATATAATGGAAATACATGAAGTAAAACTATTCTATATTTACAATAGAAATGACTTAGATTCATACACAGCAGAAGCAGGTCCGCTGGCAGCAACCTTGTCTTTAGCATCAAAGACTGCGCGCGCGGCGCTGTTGGCTTCTGCCTGCGGCTGGGAGCTGGCGAGGGCTATCGATGGGGCGACATAGGCACAAGAGCGTTTGTCACTTGGCCCGGCCAAGACCACGGAGCCGTCTATGGCGCTAGACGTTGGGAGGCTTGCCAGGATGCCATGGGGCGCGTCCAAGGGGTCATGGGGCATGGCTAGAAAGCTGCCTATGACAGTACTAACGTCCCTTTTGCCGAGGGCGTTGCATTCTTAATGGATGCAGGTGGGTAAGTCAAACTAGAAATGTTGTAATTGTATCACATGTTCCACTAGCCTTGTTGCCGGCACTATCATAGTACTCTTTTGTATCTGTTAGAGGCTTCATAGACATAGTGTAGGTTGTATATTGGTTTTGGAAAAGTCAAACTAGAAATGTTGTAAGTATCACATGTTCCACTTTAAACTATGAATGTGTAATGTATTTTGAGAATTATAAGTGAAGTAGCTAATGATAATAAAATTAATGTCGTCCATGAGATTCTCCCATTGTATAATGAATGGCACATGTCTTCACTTTATTCGTGGGTAAGGTCGAGTAGAAAGCATCAAGTCGGCTTGCTTGATCGGGATATCTCGGTTGAGCGTCGGTCGCTCTCCCCGATGTCGGGGCGTGACATTGATAACCATTGAGCAAAAAAATCCGAACCAAACCGACATATAAATATAGTAATTGTTATATACACTTTTAAGATTTTATATAGAATTTTCTTTAAACAATATCTAGAAATATTTTGGATCCTCTCATGGGATGTAATATTTAATCGAATTATTAAGTTCATTCATCTTTATTTACCTTAAGTCATGGGTTGTATCACTTTCTTATTGTAATTGAAATGCGTCAAACATCTATTTGTTTCTTCCATATTCATAGGTCAAGGTTTCTTATATCTTTTTCGAATTTGAAATGACATTTTGATAATTTAAAATTAAATAGAACATATTATTTAGGTATCATATTAATTTTTATGTTTAATTATTAAATTCGGTTAACCTTGAAACCGTACATCAATAAAAAATAATTATTGTTACACGACTAAGAAAATAAATATCACGTGTTACTAAAAAATTTCTTTCATAAGAATATTTTAATATATCATATTATCATATTTTTTTACTAAACATATATTCACTTATCAATACTTTATCTATAACTTTAACAAAGTAAGATGAAAATAATATTCATATAATAAAAAAAATCGAAAAACCGATAAAATGGAACCAATCCAAACTTAACCAATATAATTGGTTTGATTTGATTTTGATAAAAACCAAACTAACCGGTCCGCAACGGAGAATCCTACGTTTTACTATCTTGGAGCACGTTTTCAGACTAATAAAAGTTCTAATAATTTTCTAGTATAGGATGCATCCACGATCTAAATTTTCACATTAGCAGTTCGTTGTTGGATGATTTATTCGGGCCTCAAAACAACTTTTACTAAAATAATTACGTAGCAGTCATGGCAAGTTTTTGTAGTAAAGAAAGTAATAACCTATTTAGCTTAACATATCACGTGCAGTGTTCATTCAATAACACAAGAACGGGACATCTACAGAGAAGAGAGCCGCGCAACAGCAACATTCCGAATCTCAACCTCAAAACTAATCGGCTAGTATTGTCAAACTTCCCACAGATTTCTCCTTAAACGAAACTAAAGAAAGGATCTTTCTGCTTAGACCTTGCAATACTAACAATAAGCAAGAAATAACTAGCCATCTTAAACTATATCAGAAGAAGATGATATATTCAAAGTTTCATCAAACAACAAATTGATTTTTAAATTAAAAAAAGAACAAGAAGAGGAAAACAACAGTAAATTAAATCCAATAATATAATAGGGCTAAAAAAACATGTAGATACCAAAGCGAGCAAAAGAGCTGAAATAACCAATAACTTCTATCGAAAATGTCTAGATACTGCATTGGAAAAAGGCATGTTAAATTATTCAGGCTTTCTGCAGAGAATCATATGCATAGGAGTGAAAATGCCAGTGTCACCCCCTTTAGACAAATAATCAGCCGTCACAAACAACATGTCGTGCACATCAACCGCTCCTTTAGGTGCAATACCAAGCCATGCAAGCACTGTCACCAAAATGTGATTCCTCCAGTAAGCAATCTTCCCCATTTTCAGCCTTGTCCACCACGGCTTCGCTGGTGGCTTAGCCAAATTTTTCTCCTTTACCACCTCGAACCCCACTTTCCTAGCAATTCCACCAATGTCCTTGTAGCTTCTCAACCCCGGTAATGCATCACCCCTTTCAATCCCTTGAATTATCTCCACGTGTTCCGGATTATTCGAATTGTACAATTCGGTCGTAACCCACTCGTAGGAGACGTAAAAAGATCCGGGCTTTAACACTCGATAGATCTCTTTATACACTTCTTCGAGCTTTGGGGCATGACATGTGGCTTCAATGGAATAAACTCCATCGAAAGTGTTGTCAGCAAAAGGCATTTCCAAAAAGTTGCCACAAACCACCTCGCAGAGGGAGTCAAGCCTGGCTTTCTTGTTGTGGGCTCGAGCCCGTTTCACCTGGTACTCATTAATGGTGATGCCGACTACATTAGCACCTGAATGGGCTGCGATAGTCCGCATCGGCCCGCCAACCCCACAGCCAGCATCGAGAATGCGGGATCCGGGTTTTACACCCAAGAGATCGACGGCCATTTCCTCATGCATGCGGGTGGCATCGCGATGGGATTTTCCTGGGATAGAAGGCGAGAAGTGAAAAGATTGACCCCAACCCCACTCGTACATATCAGTCACGAGGTTATAGAAAGTGTCAACAAAGGCAGGGACTTTATCGGCGGTGTTAATATTCTCTTTAGGGCAGCGGAAGAAAGACCAGTACTGTTTGTAACCTTCTTGAACTTTCTCTTTGGCTAAAGAACCGAAGGAAAGTTGGACGGCACGTTTACCCTTTTGCTCGGCAGAACCAAGGATGCAAAGGAACCAGTAAAGGCCGCCGCCGGCGAGAAGGGAGGCAGTAAAAAAGAGAGTAAGAAAATCCATGAGAAAGTGAGAGCATAGAAGATGGGTAAGAAGAGAGTGGGTTTTTATGGTGAGCTTCTTTTGGGGATCTTTTTGAGGGGTTTTGAAAGAGTCATGGGGTGGACAACAGGATTCATGGCATTATAATTAGGGAGGATAAAGTTGACTTCTTCCTCCAACGCTATTAATGCCAGATTTAATATTTAATATAGGATATTACTATTAACGTTAGAGAATAATGCGATTAAAACACATAAAATTAAATTTTCTTAAAAAAATTATCTTTAATAATTTACTCCATGAATTTTGTTTATCCTTAAAATTGGATAAGAATTGAATTTATACGCGATTTTAAGAATACGTGATATAACTTGACACAAATTAAGAAGATAAATTAATATTGAAATTGACGATAATAAAATAAATGTAAACCACAAAATTGAACAGCCTTAGCCTCTGAGTTTGATCACCCTCGAGCCAAGAAATGTCTCAACTAGTATTAGAACTGAACAACAAGATGATAAGAATTAGGAATGATCAGTATATTGCTTCTTTTTGCGTGTTACAATCTGTTCTACAAATTGTCAGGACCCCCTTTATATAGTGGGGGTGTTCTACTTTTGGTACAATTCTATATAAGGTAAAAAAAATATCATGATTTCCTAATCAATCGGCCCCTTCTTGATACGTGCCGAAATTTTCGCCGTGATTCTCGACCGATTGCGGATATTTTGGCTTTTCGTTATTTGGCTCGGTAAGTTTCCCTTGATCTTGCTCGGTCTTTATCTTGCTCGATCTCGATCTTGATCGGTCTCTGGGTCACGAGCTCGATGATCTAATTTTGCACCATGGTTCGTTATAACCCGAACTCGAACACTGACCTGCCATACTTTAGCCCGGGTTTGTCAAACAATGGACAAACCCGGTTTCGACCGTATACAAAGTACCCTCGTCTTTTAGAGAGTAGGCGACAAGAAACGATATGAGACCTCGGATTCTACTTCGATAAGTCATGACGTAAGCAACTAAAAGCAACTAAAACATTCCGTCGGTGCAGTCTTCAAGGCATTAAATGCATGTCAGTCAATGGTCGGCCATTATCGGATTTGAATCGCATTTGAAACCTATAAATATTCCCCTCTTCTTCGCTTGTTCAAGTTTTACTTTCAAATATTTTTCATTTTCACTTTCAAAGATCTTTGCCTTTCTTAGCCATTCTCATCTTCAAAAACCTTTGCATTTGTACCTGAGATTTTTGCAAGAGCCTTCGCCTGTCTTTATCTTTAAATACTAAGTGTTCCCTCTTAACTTTCTTTCGTTCTCCTTTATTCAAAAAAAAGGAAAAAATGGCCAAAACTTCTAAAACTATTCCACAGAAAGAAAAAGCCTCTTAATCACGAGTCGCCGGCGATGGGACTACGGCGGAGCCACCCTCTGAAGAGTTCGTTCCAGGAGGGTGCCTGATCGGTGCTGATTTTAAGATCGAAAAGACTTCCTCGGTACCGGATCGATGTGAGCCGGTCTCGAGATATATATGTACGATCACCGACGATTTTCTACCCAAGGTCAAAGAGGATTGTAACTGGACCGATAAACACGTGGTGGTGCCCTCGCATGAGGAATCAATCACTACCCACGTGGAGGGTTTTTCAAGTGTTTACACTTACCCCCTTCACATTGGGTCCCTTAGACCCGATCATTACTACCTTCTGCAAGAGGTCTGAAGTGACCCTCGGTCAAATTCACCCCTCTTTTTGGAGGATAGTGATCCTTCTTCATTTTGTCGTAAGCAAAATCGAGGGATATGACTTCACCCTTGATCATCTTATGTGCCTGTACAGTCCTCGACTATATCGAGGGGCTGATCAAACTTGCTCGCCGGGCCACCAGGGCCCTATTTTCGAGTATAGATGAGGACCCGGATCGAGGCTAGATGGGCCGATTTGTTCGAGTGAGGACCTCGAACTTGATCCTTGTCGAGGATATGCCATTTCCCGAGAAATGGAACATGAAGCGTAAGTATAGCTTCTCCTTAAAGACTTTATTTAACTGTTTCTTCCCTTTCCTTCCTTCTTATCGGTGTTTTTTGTGGTGCAGTTGTGTCTCGGATGCCGGATGTGGTTCCTCAGCTCAAAAAGTGGGTCGAGGGCCTGGTGTGACAGAGACCATATTCTGAGCCCGCATGGACCGAATTTTTAAAGGGTCGATGGGAGGCCTGTAATCATGGTAAGTTTTCTCGTTTGATGTGATAATGTTTAATTTCTTCCTTGTGCTGTCGAATTCTTATCGGCTCTTTTTTCTTTTGTAGGTCTCCCCAAAGATGTTGCCATGAGGCTTCCATCCGATGATGAGGATGTGCTTTCGAGTCCCCTGCTCCGAGGCAGGGTGATTAGAAGAAGAGAAAAAGGGCCCCGAGTTCCCCGAACTCGAAAAAGAAGAAACCGAAGAAGAGGTCGCGCAAGCCCAAAGGAAGCATCGGCGCTCTACCCTCGGACTCAATCCGCCGATTAAGGGACGAGTCCGAAGAAGAAGAAGAAGAAGAAGAAGAAGAAGAAGAAGAAGAGAAATCCAAGCTGGTGGCCCGTGTGTGGGTAGGTGTTGTGATACAAGGGCTCTCCGAATCGACGGATGCCAAACTCGGACCATCCCGACATGAGGAGGTCGATGAGGGAGTCTTAGCCGAAGCTCCCGAACCAGAAAGAGGTGAGGCCACTCCGTCCCAAGCTAGGGGGGTCGAGAGGTAGACCGAGGTTGATACTCCTAGAGCAGAGGAAAGTGCCTCGAAAGATGTGCTTGGGGCGATCGACTTTACCGGGGGGTCTCCCCAGTTGTCAAATGCCATGATCCGTGAGACCTGCATGCTAGAAAGTCATTCTTACGAGGGGCCTCATAGGGCTGTAGATATCCACCATATCTTAGACAGGTTAGAGTCTGCTGCCTCAGAGGACGTCACCGGGCTCAGAGACTTGCCGGTGCCAAAGAAGGCACCATCGCTGGGAGCCAGTGGGTCTTCCTCGAGCTCAAGGTTAGTGGATCAGTTCCCGGCTCCGACCGTTGACCCTGACCAAAAGCGATCGATAATTTTCTCTATCCCAGAGGATGTCCGAGTTTTATCTTCCCCCGTGGGGGTCACTAGCTACCATCGGTGTTTGGTGACCGAAGAGCATCAGGCCGTGATGGACAAGGTGGAAATCCTGCCTTTTCAATAAAGCTCAACAAGCATTGAATCAGGTAACTTCAAGTATCTTTGTCATTATGTATTTTGAATTTAAAGTTGTAAAACAATCATAACTCCCTCTTTCATGTTTGCAGGCCTTAGGTATTGCACCATGAGACTTTCCTCCGATATCGGGAGGAGTTAACCAATCACCAGGCTGAGGTTCAAGTGCTTACCGAGAAGAGGGACACCTACAAGCTTCTTAGTGAGAAGCTTCAGGCCGAGTTACAAGCGGCTCGGAGGGATCATACCGGGATGGCCGAGCACGTAATTCGAGTACTTCACGATAACGAAGATGAAATGGACATAGTGGTTAACGGTCCAATCCTGCAGGTTGGGCAGAGGCTTGAATAGATCGGGCAGCTCAAGACACAGGTAGATACGATACAAGCTAAGGCTGAGGAGTTCAAGAAAAATATGGACATCTTAGCCTCGAAAAAGGAAGTTGTCCAAGCACAACTGGAGTCAGCCGAGACCCAGCTCCATGCTGCAAAAGAGAAGATCTCGGTACAGGTCAGGAAAATCAAGGAACTTTAATCCCAATTGGACTCGGCTATTTCTGATAAAGAGAATTTGGCCAAGGAACTCAAGGCGGCCAAATCAGAGGTTGTTAAGGCCAAGCCCGAAGCTGACGCCAAAGTGGCCCAATTCAAGGTCGACGTAGAGGTGATCCAAGCTCAGGCTAGGAGTATGGTGGAGCATGCAAAGTGGCAAGCTCGAAGAGAAGCCCTCGAAGGAGTTCTTGCTCAGAACTTCGACGTACTGGCTGAACTCGAGAGTGCCAAAGTAGAAGAAGCCAGGGCCCAGAAGCTGGCCTTCCCTGAGGAAGATTCTGAGAGCTTAAGTGAGTTCGAAGACGGGGAAGATCCCGATGATGAAGATGTTGCCTCCGATGGGGACAAGGCCACTTAGACCTTTATATGTTTTTTATTTTTTGCATCTTTTAAAGGTCGTTTCGGCCGTTGTAGGTTTTTGGTATTGGGCCATTCTGGCCTTTGTTGAAAACGTTGTTGGAATATATATATGAGGCTTTTATTTCCCTTTCGGCTTTCATATTTTCCCTTTACCTTATTACTTGTATTCACAAAGGTCAGGATGCCTTAGTATAAAATAACTTAGGTTATGTTTGAAAGTTCAAACAAACCTCGCCTTTATATTACTCTATTTTAAGGCGTCTTGGGGGTTCGGTGTTACCAGAAACCTTTTTCCTAAAGTAAATAGCCGAGATCGTAGTTCACCGGGGGTAGCCTTTGGAACCGGTTATATAAAAAAATTATTTTTCGAAGGCCTAGTTTTTGTTACGCGTTTTGGACGTCTTCGAACCATGTCAATTTGGCCGAAGCCTTTTAGTTTGGGTGTCGCCCAATGGGCTTTCTTTCGTGAGTTATCCAGGTTTGGCTAAGATAACAGTCCCCGAGTGGGTACGGCCGTAGCCTCTAAAATTTGGGATTTGCCTAATAGGTCTTATGCCCCCAATGTTTTAATAGCTCAATCTGTTCGAGTTTGTTTTCGAACGGCAATCCTCGAGCGAGGGAGTGACCATTCGAACTTTGGTTATAAGCGGCCCTTGGGCTCATTACCTTTAGGAGATTGAAAGTACGAGATTCTTTAAGGGATGTATAGAGGAAACTTTTTAAACATAAGATAATTGCAAGGAAAGTTCTTCTCTTTATTCTTGTGAAAAACAGTTATACATGCGTACATGTTTTCGAGCAACCTATGTGGGCATGGTTCGTTTGACCATTTGACCCTTACAATAAATCCTACCTATCGATACCCTTCTATTACGAAGTAATTTCCTTACAAAAGTCGATATCCAAGGGTAATGCCCCCAATATTCGAGGTTGATTGTAGAGGAACCTCGGATACTGTTAATGCCATCTTCGACATTGATTCGTGATCGAC